ACATTCTTGTTATATCACGACTGCATCAGACTTGTTAGAACAACCTTGTAACATTCTTGTTATATCATGACTGTATTAGACATGATTGTTAGAACAACCTTGTAACAAGTCTGATAATGCCATCAAGCTTGTGTTGAACTAATGACTTCGACACAAAAGAAAATGCTACAGTACGTTACGATACGGTTGAAGTGGAAAACAGGCCCCATATCTTCGTTTTGAACGTTTCTAAGAGATCAGCAGGGGCGAAACTTGAGGGGGGTATGGGTGTGTGTGTGCCCCCCCCCCCCCAATACGAATCATCCCGATTGGCAAAGCAATCAAAATGCAAAAAATTCCGGCCAAAAAAATTAGATAAATGAAGTATGAGTACAATTTTAAATGATAGAATGTAGAGTTAAGTAACTTATATTACAGCAAGCAAACGATAAGCAGTTCGTATGCATGGCACATTGGCATCGGCAGTTCAATTATACACGTAGCTCAGTGATGTATTGTGTTAGCGCTGGCGCTGCAGGGAATCATTGGTCTTGTCAGACACCCCCCTAATTAAAAGGGCCTAGTTTCGCCCCTGGAGATCAGTTTGTTTCTTGTAATTGCGAATACAACTCTGTGGAATCTGGTAGTCACGCGTACAAAAATCCATAATTAAAAAATGCGATATTCTGAATTGAAATAGCAACTGGAATCCTAACTCGGTAAATAGCTTTCCTCGTGCAGAATAAATGCTGTTTTATACTATCAAAGTTTCTGTGATCACAGTAGAAATTTTGCATGGGTAAATTCTAAGTTTTGAAGGATTTGTAAGAAGTGTTTGGGGGATCTGACTCGGTATTTAACACATACCTCAAATCCCAACGATTTATTTGGGAACATAGTATTATCATTATTCCCTTCAAAAACTCATTAATAATTCATGAAGCAATTATCCAATCTTGAGTAAGAAATTAGTCACGTGCATACGTCTTTATACCAGCTAAAGAACACTTTAACAAAAGACCATTGTTATGCAAACTATATAAAGATTTTTATATAAAGATTTTTATATAAAGATTTTTATACAAAGATTTTTATATAAAGATTTGACTTATTATGCAAACGTTTTTGAAGCCATTTAAAAAACTCGCAGGTCGTGTTTTATTTGGTCTAAAGCCACTCGCGGCGCTGCGCGCTCGTGGCTTTAAACCTAATAAAACACTCCTGTTCGTTTTTTAAATAGTACTTTAAGACCTCAATGCGAAATGTAAAAGCTCAAAAAATATAAATTTTCGAGTTGTTTACTTATATTTTCAGATCTAGATTTTAATGCATGTGGGCTCGTATCCGTGCCGATTAATCTTTAATCGGACACCCGTGGGATTAATTATGAAATAGAAAACGAGTACCGTGCGTTTATGCTGTGATAATGCACGCGGAAATGTTGGGAGAATACTCGAGAAGCGTGTAAAACACAAGCCGTAGCCGAGTGTTTTACGCGCTTCTAGAGTTTTCTCCAAACATTCCCCAAGTACATTATTGCACCATAAGTCCAGTCTTAAATCCGTCTGACCGTGTGTGTATATATATATATATATATATATATATATATATATATATATATATATATATATATATATATATATATATATATATATATATATATATATATATATATATATATATAAAGGATCATGAAAAGTGCGGCAAATTCATGATTGTGAACTTTGCACCTAGCGTCATATCGCATTTCAACATTTTACGTGCGTATTTTCTCCGTCTCTGTTTTATGGGATGGACCATTTGATTTTTGATGGGGGGGGTGGGTAGATTTTCAGTTTGCTCGATATTTTTTTTTCCGCCTCCTGACACTGTTCGATTTTTTTTGTCAGTCAGAGGACTTGCACGATATTTTTTTGTATGCATGTATATACATAATTTTTTAGTTTTTTGTTTTTACATTTTTCGGTATATAATAGGTAATTGGACAAGTACTGGTGTAAGACATTGTGTAGCCTAAATAATGAGAGGACCAGTATTCAAAAAATGGTTGTTCTCCATTTCTTTACTCCGACTCCTATGATGAACATGTACGTAAAAAAACTAGGGAAACTGCGATTATATATATAGAAACTAAAGTAGGTGGAAATTTTTATGGGACTCCATAAAAGGTGAGGATATAAGAGTGAGAGATTGAAATTGAGTAGGAAAGGCAACTCTACACGCGTTTCGACCTAACAGTCTTTTTCAGCAGGTTTTTTAAAGGGGGGGGGGAGTATATAGAATTTGCAGAGGAGAAGAAAAGAGAGTTTAGGAGTTCGGAAAATAATGTGAACTTGGATCCTCTACGTAGCAAAATCCACACCAGAACTAGCTATAGCTATCTATTGGTCATATCGTATCATTCATTTACTAATCTCTGTTTTGGTTTTGTTATATATGTACATGTTTTAGTTATTATTGTATATTCATATATTTTAAACAAAAATCAAACCCTGCACGGAGTTATCATTATTTTTATCCCTTATGTATCACTAATTGCCAAACGCCCCTATCCCTGTCTTATAAGCTCCTACACCACTAACACCATATTTGGATGCAATCACCTACAGTCACATGATCACCCTTACCATCACAATCATTCAAACTCACTATACCATTGAGTAAGTTAACCCTTAATTGAAGGACCTGCAAATTTGCTTCACTTCACCAATACGAACGATGAACAATAAAGTGCGTAGTGTTGGAATGTCCCGCAAACAACAAGACCTTTGGTAGGATAACTTGACTAATAATATGTATGGTAGTTACATCCTTTCACTGTGTAATTGGTTATTTTCAGTTATTTCGTAATAATTTGTTTTCCTCTTGGTCTCACATTATTTTCCGAACTCCTATAAACTCTCCTTCCTTGTCCTCTTCAAATTATATCTACCCCCCCCTTAAAAAACCCTGCTGAAGAAAACTGTTAGGTTGAAACGCATACCCCTGTACGCTATTCCTACTCAATTTCAATCTCTCGCTCTTACTGATCCTCGCATAAAAATTTCATCTAATTTAGTTTCTACGGCCGTGATTTAATCGTAGTTTTCCTAGTTTTTTACGTACATGTTCATCATAGGAGTCGGAGTAAAGAAATAAAGAACAACCATTTTTGGAATTATACTGGTCCTCCCATTATTTAGGCTACAGGGCCGTGGGAAGAAATTTTTGATTGGGGGGCTGAAAGCGAGGGCCGAAGGCCCAAGGAAATTTTTAAATTTAGAGTCTCTGAAACGCCATTTCCTGGACCCTGCAGCCCCCCGGTTGCTACATACGGCCTGGGCTACACGCGGAAATGCACCGAATGGCAAATAAGGATTACCACTCGAAAGTCTTGCTCGATATTTTTTTTCGTCCGTTTATTCTTGCACGATATTTTTTTTAAGTTCGAATTGCTTGCCCGATATTTTTTTGGGGATTCTACCCACTCCCCCATCAAAAATCAAATGGTCCGTCCCTAAGAATGCATGGATCGAAGTCAGTAACTTTGTAGACAAAGAGGTAAACAAATAAGTGCAAACTTATATACAATATAGTAGGCTGTATTTCATGCATCGAAGTTGTCTATATAATGTTCAGCTGTCTGTAACACTTTATCACTACATAATAAACAAGACAAGCTCCTTTGAAAATGTTGAGTTTTATTTGTGTGTGAAAGTCAGTATTATTACGTGACAATGACAACGTCTATAGCTACATTCCGAGCTACATTCACTGAATTTACCAAGATTATTGCTGCAGTGCAGGGCACTATTAAATTTACTAAAATTTGCCACAACTTGTATTTTTATATTCCGAAATATTCAGTAATAAAATTCAGTAATAAAAATTGGGCAAAAATTTGCTAGGCTCGCTATATAATACGATCATGAGTATCCGGTAATGTTGAGATAATAATGTTAATCTTTCGTCAAAGAGACTGAATGACAGATAAATATTTTGGCACTTTTCTATTTCGGTATGTTCTATTTTAAAATCTTTATCAGTTGGAGTTCTTCAAATCCCAGTGCTGATGATAATATATACCTCTAAACGAAACTTTTGTTTCATTGAATTCGATGAAGTTTCAATAATTACTTTAAAGAATGAAATCCCAGAAGAACTCATAAATAGTTCAATATTTTTTATTTATCGTTTTCAGATTTTATTTTCGCGCGTCTGTATACTAGGAAATGAGTTCCTTCTATTTACCTTTATCAATAAACCCATGTGATAATCTCGGGCATCTAGGAATTTTTTGTCTGACCCCCTAATTCCGCCCGTACACCTGTTCCTCACTACACTTGTGATAATTCAAAACTATTATTCCAATGAGTTAATTCTCACATTTTTAGAGATGTCTGGCGGGAATCCGCGGGCAAGTGACCATGAAATCTCGTGGCGAGATTGAATCGCTTTCTGTTCTTCCGGTCACGACAAGCGGCGATTGCACCTTGCACACGCGAGCGTACCACGCGGTTTTGGAGCTTGGCACGAGTGGCAAAGAATAAGCAAATTTCCTTAAACTGAGGAAATTTGGCCTCTTTAATTAAAAGATTTTTAAGGAAATGAAATTTCTAAAGTTTTTTCTAATATTTGAAAATATATTTTAAAATTCCTCGAAAAATTTAGTCAATTTTTCTGCTATTTTTGCAAAATACTTTTCAAAATACAGTAATACGGTCTAAGGCATTCAGATTTAAGAACTGACAGAACTGTAGAAATTTCCTACAGGAAAATGTTCTCAGACCCGACAATACGAAATTCGTTTTGAAAGCACTGCTAAAAATCCCAGTTCCCAAATGAGACAATATTTCAGAGACCCTAAATTTGTATTTTTTAGGGCACTAATTAGTAATTACCAAAATGGAAAAAACCCAGGCCCTTAGCTTACGATTATGGTGAAGTCCAAACCTAATTTAAGGAATTTTAGCCAAGAAAATAAGGAATTACTTGTAATGGGAAGTCAGAGCCTTGCCAAGAACGAAGCTTTTTGTTCGCCAGTGAGCCAGTTGGAGTTCGATTACCGCTCTTTCAGTTCAGTTCCATTGAGATGGACTGTTGTGAACTGGCAAGGTTTATACGCGTTGAAACGTATATATGGCTGAGAAGAGCGAAATTAGGCTAGAATGCCGGCTTTCTGCACTCGATGTCGAAGAAGACACCGAGACAGATGTGCTAGACGATCCATCGCCTTACGAGAGCGACACTGAAGAAGTAGATATTGACAGTTTTGTCAAGAGTA